TCAGTTTTGGGTGCACTGGCCCTTTAATTTTTTGAAAACCTGCTTTAGCTGCGTTGTCTGGAGCTGTCTAGATTGGTTGTATGAGTTGCATTGTCCTGATTTCGTCATTGTTAAATTTTGCTTTTTCTTTGGCACACTAAGCTGAAATGAAAAACTGGAGATTCGTGTTGAGCGGGTGACATGTGCGGGCCTGTTGTGGTCTGAATCACTTCAGTAGTAATAAACTGTATATCGGTTATTGTGCTACTGTTCAGGAAAGTACATTGTGTATCTCAACCCTGTGCAGGTGTGAAACAATAGATCCCTGAGGTCACTAGGAGCCTGCTGAGACTTGTAGTTCCATTGCAGGCACAAAGCAACAGATTAAAACATCTTGGCTAGAGAAGGTCTTGGAAGGATAATTCACTACTTGGAAGGTCATTGATCTGGAAAAAGCATGCAGTCAGTCAGTAATGGGACACCTAGTATAACCCTGCTTGTTCCAGCTAAGGGACTCACGATGTAGTGATGAGGACTGCACCTTACAAAATAACTGGGAGGCTGCCATTGCTGACCTCTTCAGAAAATGCTACCTGCCTGACTGTCATTGGGACTTTATTACTATGAGTCACTAACCTGGAGTAGGTGTGGTGGTAAGGATGCCTAATCATACTTTGCTGATCGCTTATTATTTGTTTGGGATCATCCATAACAGCCAGTCAAGTAGCATTTTTAGTAGTAGGTTGGCAGTGGAAGCCCTTGTATTATTCTATAAACTGTATAGAATGTGATGACTCAAGGATCTTTAGACTGCTGCAGTGTGTGTGTGTGTGGGGGGGGGGGGGGGTTGGGGTGTGGGGGGTAAGGAACTTGCCTAAGGATCAGGTGAGTATAACATTGTTTTTTATTTCTTTAACCTAGATACACAAGCACTTAACCCGAGTTCTGCTTTTAAAGAAGAACTACAGATCCGTATATAAAAATCTATCCACTGTTAAATTACTTTACTGTTTCTCAAGTCAGCTGGAACTAAACTCGTATGTTTTCATACAGTTGCCACACACCAGCTAAAAGTTGAAAATCAGGCTTACGGTGGGAGTGGCTGTTGTAGAAGCTGTCAAGCAGAAAGGAGAGGTAGGCGGATGTACAGAGGAGGAGGAGGAGGAGTCGTCGTCTATGCAGTGGTGATTTTGACCAAAAAGAGATGGGCAGTGACACAGACTCTGCAGAGCTGAAAGCTGACCGGTCTCCCTCTCCTGATCCTGTAAAGCCCAACAGGGGTGGTTGGATCACAAGCTGTGCCGATTTATCATTGTTGAGGACAACAGTTTCTAAATAAATTTTAAATGGATTTGGTTTGTGCATTTAGCTGTCTGGTTGAAGTTTCTAGTTAAAGGATCTTCACCACTCTGGCATTCTAAATCAGGAACTCTGCTCTGCAGTAATTACATAGTAATCTGTCACAGATGCCTGCGCTCGGCATACATTCTTTTCATAATCTCTTGTCCGAGTCACGGAGTGGTATAAACACAAGATGAAAACTCGTTACAAATGTATTGCCTTTTATTTAAAGGAGTTGTAAAGTCCCAGCATCTCCTCTCCTGTTATAACATCAGCATTGTAATAGGAATACATATTAGAGTTGTTTTTAATAAATCAATCGAAGCTTACATGAAAAAAAATCCCTTTTATGTAATAAGTGCTGCCTTGTGTCTGCCATCATGTCCAACAACTTCCTGGAGTCCCAGTGTGCTTTGCATCTCTTTCCCTGATGCTCGATGTGGTGATATCTCCATTTCTCAAGACTACATATCCCATCATGCATTGCTTCCAGTGAGCGATGATAATGTAACATTTTTCAGACGTTGAGTTGTCGTTCAGAAGGCAGGCTCTGTGAGAGTTGACACAATGAAGTGCATATTCACAGGGCTGAGTGAAATGGTGTCAGTACATTGAGGAAGTACATCCTATGGGCATCTTCAATAAGTAAGTTTGGTTATGGTTGAATATGGTTATTAGGAGTGAGATGGAAAAAACATCAATGGGAAATTTGCGCAAGAAAGGACTCCCAGGGCCGGTTCACACCAGCTCACACGATTCGCTGCTGGAACGCACTGGAGTGCATTCTGGTCGGCTTCCTGCGTTCAGGGGTGGGAGGAGGCATGGTGGTGCATTGAAATCAATGGCACCGCAGCCAAGCTGACTTCAATGCACCGCCATGCCCCATCCCACCCCTGGACGGGAGGCCTGCAATGCAATCGCCCGCACCAGATCGGATCGGTACCTGCATTCCGGTCCAGTGTGATCTGAAAAAATTGCAAACATTTCCCATTTTATGTTTTTTTTGTTAAACTACAAGCAAACAGCCCCACTGCCTGCACCTGTTAAAACAAGTTGGATATGGTGATTCCTATATTTCTACCATTATGGGTTTACTTTAAGAATCTATAATAGCTTTTGTCCCATCGCACTCCGGACCAGAATCCCAATGTATTCAAATGGGTGCTGGAATGACCTGTGTATGGCACCGTGTAGATCCAAGCAGACCAGGGTCCAATGTATCAATACGCCTTTATTAGATGCTAAGAATACATGGCATCACTTGTGAATTGTAGCATTTCAGAACTCTATACAGTCCTTATTAGCATCTAATAAAGGTGTATTTATACATTGGACTGTGGTGTGCGGGTGACTATCTTCTTCTACTTTAAGAAGCTATCACAATGCGGAATGCCTACAGGCCCGTTCACACCACATCCAGATCCTCTCCAGACCAGATTGTTTACGGACCCAAAATGCATCCTAACGTATCCCTATGCTATTTCTGGCCTCTGTTCACACCAGCGCAGTCCGTTCCAGACCAGAAAAATACTGCATGTCTCATTTGGCCTGGACTAGAATGCCCTGGAACGCATGGGAATGCATCAAAAACACATACAAATGCATGCAAACGCAGTGGAACGAACCTGAAAGCCCATTTTAAGCTAAAAAACAGAACGCGGCAAAACATAATGCACTGCTTTCGAGATCTGGTCCGGAAAATGGAGTGAACCTGCCTGAAAAGCTTCAGAAAGAAGCAGACTTTCCCGCTTATAGGCAGAATGCTAATTCCAGGGCAGGGAAGGTAAATCTTTTCACCTGCATTAGTCGGGGAACAAAAGCTTCCCAGAGAGGCTTCTGGAAAAGGTGCTTTGTCTTGTGAAGGGGCCCCTTTAAACAGCCCAGATATCATAAATCTACAGTATATCATAGAGCGATTACATCAAATAAATACAAATCAGAGACTTTACCTTTCCAATAGGAAATCGGAATCATTTATGCAATCTATAATCTGAGTTTAAATCTCTTGCAGAGATGGTCTGCTTTCTAAATGCTTCTAAGCGGGACTGCAGTCCCTTGTCACCAGTTTCTCTTTTATGTCAGGCCTCACTGCTTTGCAACCTCAAGATCAGAGCTGGTAAGGTATTAACAGCACTCATAGGGGTTTAGTGTGCCGGTCATACTGCTACCTATGATGAAAGCCGGCATGGAAATTTAAGCTAATTAGCAAGAAAAATGCATTTTCTGAGTCTAAGGTTAAATTAAGCTTTTCTATGTTTTGGAGTGTTCCCTTAAAATCTAATTCCAGGTACAATAAATTTGTTCTTTTTTTTTTGGGTGGTGAGCTTAAAAACAAAGCAATGTCAAACTATGTGGCCCCGCGATAGCCGGTGGTCTGATCCTCTGCTCTACAGAGCTAGAATGTGGCGAGCACTTGTAAGTCATCAATGCAGGACCAGCATCCATGTTATCAGGATGGGATGTGACTGCTGATCCTGCATTGTATATTAGGAAGAGGGGTGGGGACCAGGACAAAGTCAAAGGGAGAAGAGTGAATTCAGGGAACTGGCTGTCAAATGAGCAGAATCCATGGCGAGAACAATTATCTGACTGTGGATAGCTAAGGGGAAGGGTGCAATTTTTAATTCATTTTAATACTACCACTACCTGGAATTAGGCTTTATGGCCCATCCACACTTTTCCACTGTGGTGTGTTGTAGTAATGCATGGAGTAATGCAACACACGTTACATGCAATAGCAGGTTGCAGTACCATTCTTTCAATTCCTACATATGCGCAGCACAACTCACACGTACCACGTGTTGTGTCTGTGTACCCTAAAATGGTCTTTTTTTTTTTTTTTTAGACAATTAGTGTGCTGCCCCACCATTCATTTTAATGTGCTACTTTAATGCAATGCAACTGCATGACAAATGCCACGTGTTAATGTACATGCATTAACACAATGCACCAAGACATCAAGGTCTGAATGGGCCCTAAAGCAAACCCGTGATTTGGAATTGACATTGACATTGGAATGAAAGGAAGTATACGAGTCTGAGAAAATCTACATTAAAGCTGAAACCTGGGCGAAACAATTATTGTATAAATGCAAGAGCCATATGCATCTGTGCCTTAATCTTGGGGACCTTTGTGTATTCCTTCCAGATCTGTGCAGTAAATCAGCATGAAACAATCCCTACACTTTACCTCTGTACAGGAGCTTCCTTCCAGGAGCAGTTTAAATGAAAGTTTTTGTGCCCGGAGTTCAGCTTTAAAGTTAACCTGCATGGGCAAAGCACAGATTCACTTTAAATTCTATTTCCCATGTATAAAAGGAAGGATGCTATTGGCAATTAAACCCCCTACAAAAATCACAACCATAACTAGGAACAAACCCAAATCTGTCCTTGAAAGTTAATCAGTCGGCTACTGAGATATATAATTTAAGTATTTAGCATTTTCTCTCCTATTCACATTTGCACCCCTTTGCGTCCCACCCTAGTGACAATAATCTCAGATATACAGTAGAGTTGCTCTGTGCTGGTTTGTGGAGGCGATGATCTCCTTTTTCACTGATGGGGTTGGAATTAGGCAAAGTGTTATACATGGAGAGATTGATGAGTTAATCTGGGAGGGAGCACTATGTTCTGTCTTGCGTGGGGTGGGACAAGCTGAAAGCATTCAAGACTGTCTGCAAGTTGTAACCAGCATCTCTCCCCACACTCCTGTCATCTGCTGCCTCTCACACAGAGGGAGGATATTCACTGTGACCAGCCAACAACATGCCCACAGATCTCTACCCAACAGGCCAGATGCTGCCCCTCTATCACCCAGCACTGGCCACCTGCACAAACCACAAAGGTGTCTGACTTGGAGAAGCGCTAGCTTGGTGAGTCTATGCTTTATCTAAATACATTGTTACTGCTAAACTTCATTTTTTTAAAACACGAGCAATGAGTTCTTATGCTTGCTCTCTTCTTTTACATGTCCTTTTCTAACCTTTACGTCACAGCTGTATTACAAGTTGTTAGTAAATCAAAAGGCATCTTTACAGCTTTTAACAATGTTTAAAACTTAAAAAAAAAAACTTTTAGGAAGTACAAAAAATGTCAAGTTTCCTATCCTAAAGATTAGGTGGTTTTGCGATGTCCTTTCTTCATCTTACCAAGGCTGGTGTATAACCAGAGGAAGGATTAGAGCAGGGGGTTCCCATACTTTCTAAATGAAGGGCCAGTTTATTGTCATTAAGACAATGAACTGTGGCCAGTGGGAGTAGAAAATGCCCCGGTATCAGAGGTAATAAACAATACCCCGGGCTCAGTGGTAGTTAAAAAAAATAAAAAATAAGAGGACCTAGTGCTCGTGGTCAGTGAGGGGAGAAAGAATGCCCCATTTGTGATCATCAGTGGAAGGAATATTGCCCCATTGTTGGTATCAGTGGAAGGAAAAGTGCCCCATCTTTGTTATCAGTGGGAAGAATTGTGCCCCATCATTGGTATCTGCGGGAGGAATAGTACCCCATCGTTGGTATCAGTTGGAGGAATAGTGCCCCATCATTGGTAGCAGTGGGGGGAATAGTGTCCCATCATTGGTATGAGTTGGAGGAATAGTGCCCCATCAGTGGGAGCACTACTGCCCTATCGTTTGTATTAGTGGAATAAAAAGTGCCCCATCGTAATTATCAGTGGGAGGAAAAGTGCCCCATTGCTGGTGTTGGTGGGGGGAATACTGCCCCATTGTTGATGTTTTAATGGGTGGAATTGTGCCCCACCATTTGTGTAAGCCCCGCTCTTGGTGTTAGCGGGAGGAATTGTGTTCAGCTGTTGGTGTCAGTGAAATGAGCAGGACCCCAAGGGTCAGTTAAGTTGCAAGTCAAGGGCCACAGTTTGGAGACCACTGCGAGTGTTAGGCTTCTAGGCCAGGGTGGGAAAGAAAGCTAACTTTGGATTGGCCGTTTTGGATGATTCGCTTGTCATTTGCAAGACAGAAGACCTAAATTGTAGGGGCTTAAGGTTGTCATAATAAACTTGATTTGTCACATGCAGGTTTTGGCCAACTCAGAAGAATATATATTTTCATGCCAATGGTGGAAGCAGACACCTGTTGGTCAATGTTCTGGGGGGAAGGGGAGGGATCAATCCAGATCCGTGTAAAAGTCCTTTTCTGAGCACTATTCTTTTCTTCGGAAAGAGCCAGTGATGCTGGCACTAGAAGGTTTAAGAACAGGAAGGGCTGGTCTTCAGCGCAGAGGATCTCAATGTGAGGAAGACAAGTATGCAAACAAAGGGTTAAAGTAAGGCAAGTGTGAAACGGTTAGAACCTCTGTAATAAAAAAAATGTAAAAACTGACCGGTATTTCTAGAGCATTCATTGTTCTAAAATGAGGGGAAAAAGGACATGTGTCTTTAGATACACTTTAAAGCAGAAATCCAGCCAGATATAAAAAAAAAAACCCCATATTAATGCATCTTTTAATGTATTTTTTAAATGCAAGCAGTACCTGAACATCACCTGGTATCAGAGTCTTGCAGTACCAGTACAACAGAGCTCAGACTTGGGAAGGGAGAAGCAGCACAACAAATCAATCAGCTGTGCTGCAGTGTTCATGTACTAGCAAGGGGCATGCTGATAGGAGGAGAAAGAGAGGTGAGCTGATCAGTCTGCAACGTCTCCTTTCACTGTCAGTGTCTAGTAATAGGCTGGGGGAGAGATGAAACCTGTGTCACTGAACTGCAGCAGAGAACAAATCATGTCCCCTGCCCTGAAAGACAGGGATGTACTGTGTGACAAAGATGTTTCAGTGATGTCTCAGGACTGGATGGACAGTAATAGAAATCATTTTGTATGTATTTAATCTGTGCATATAGCTGTTTGCCCAGAGTTCAACTTTAAATCTGAACACCAAAACTACCCTTGCAGTGACCCCCACCCCACCCTTATAATGCAAGGGTTAAATGCTCATGAAGTCTAGAGTTAGTGGAATAAAATGTGATATTTCCCTTATTCCTCGTTGCAGTGTTCTCTTCAATGCTCCATGTTGTGGACATGAACGTGTCATCCTCCTGTACAATGCAGGACTATTGGATCTGAGTACCGAACAGCTTTGGGCGGCTTGTCAGAGCGGGGAAGAGGGTAATAAGGGGGCCCCACTGCAATGGGTTTTTTTTGGGGGGGGGGGGGGTTCTGCCTGGAATGGGCTTTACGTTTGTATTAGAAAATCAGGCTGCATAAATGATAATAAATGGGTAAATAGGGGCTCCTTTTTATATTTTAACATTTCTGTTTGCAGCAGTCAGGGTAAAAACACCCTGTGCTAGGAGTATGCTAGAGAGCCAGACTTCTGCTGGATCTCCAACAGTCTGACATGTCCGCCTGCCCAAGTACAGCGCTGATTAGGGAGCATGAGTGCTGTTGTTTGGCGCACTGGTAAGGGAGCGTGTTGGATTACTGGAGACCCAGAACGTTCTCTAGGGTGCTGCATGCAGAGAATGCTTTAACCTTTCCAGCAGCAAATAGTACTGATAGAAAAATGTATATGAGGAACCCCCAATTACTACTATATAAGCAGCCTGACGGTATTACAGAAAGAATATAGGAAGCTTCAATTGGGCTTTAAAGGAAACCTGTGGTTAGTGAAATACTGGAGGCTGCAATTGCTGGGCTGTCCTGAAAATGCTAGCTAGTAAATTGAGTAAGCCAGCTCACCAGAGAAAAATTGTTTTCAAATCTCACAGTAGTTTAATTTTCTAGGCAAAAAGTACAAGATTGGTATACGGATTGTGCAAAATAACACAAAGTCCAAAAGTCTATGCTATACATAAGCCAACTTTCCACTACTATGCAGTACAGATAACATAATATAGACCATGTGGAGTCCCAGTACATATAAACAGCAAAAGGTATCAGACAGAAACAGTTAGCAGACACAGAGTTTACATGTGAAACATCAGGTGACAGGTGTAGGTGGCAAATGAGCCAATGTTTTGGGGAGCTTTTACCCTTTTCTTAAGACAGATCCCACACGTGTCCTCTTTAGTCTTTATACTTTCCCTTACCATGAAATATCCTTAGACTCCCATCCCATCATCTTTATATTATCCATTACCATGCAAATATCCTTAGACTCCGATCCCACCATCTTTATATTATCCCTTACCATGAAAATATCTTTACACTCCCATCCCACCATCTTTATATTATCCCTTACCAAGAAAATATCTTTACACTCCCCTCCCATCATCTTTATATTATCCCTTACCATGAAAATATCATTAGACTCCCAACCCATCATCTTTATATTATCCCTTACCATGAAAATATCCTTAGACTCCCATCCCACCATCTTTATATTATCCCTTACCATGAAAATATCCTTAGACTCCCATCCCACCATCTTTATATTATCCCTTACCATGAAAAAATCCGTGGACTCCCATCCCACCATCTTTATATTATTAATTCTAATGAAAATATCCTTAGACTCCCATCCCATCATCTTTATATTATCCCTTACCATGAATATATCCTTAGACTCCCATCCCATCATCTTTATATTATCCCTTACCATGAAAATATCCTTATACTCCGATCCCACCATCTTTATATTATCCCTTACCATGAAAATATCCTTAGACTCCGATCCCACCATCTTTATATTATCCCTTACCATGAAAATATTCCTAGACTCCCCTCCTATCCTCTTCAAACTATCCCTTACCATGAAAATATTCCTAGACTCCCCTCCTATCCTCTTCAAACTATCCCTTACCATGAAAATATTCCTAGACTCCCCTCCTATCCTCTTCAAACTATCCCTTACCAGGAAAATATTCCTAGACTCCCCTCCTATCCTCCTTCAAACTATCCCTTACCATGAAAATATTCCTAGACTCCCCTCCTATCCTCTTCAAACTATCCCTTACCATGAAAATATTCCTAGACTCCCCTCCTATCCTCTTTATACTATCCCCTAACATTAAACTATTCAGAATCTCCCCCCTATACCCTTTATATTATTCTTTACCCTGATAATATTACTGTAGCAATCTCCTATCACATTTATATTATCCCTTAGCATAATAATATTCCTGGACTCACATCCTATCCTATTTATGTTATATTTTGCCCTGGTAATATTCCTGGACTCTGCTCATATCCCCTTTTTTATTATCCCCTCTCCAGATATTATTCCTGGACTCCACTCCTATCCTGTCAGTTATTCCTTTTACCCACCTTCCATTCAATCCATACTAATTCCTCAGTTGTTTCGGTAATGCTACAATATATTTGGTCCCACCAATAAAGCTTATTTGACCTGAATTTAATTGATTAATGAAACAAAATGTGGGAGGCTCACAAAGGTTTTTTTGGGGGCTAATAAGTGTAATGAGAAACTCAAGAGATGCGTTCCTAAAATTATGAGCATCACAAAGACCATTTTTATGTCTGTGGCATCTGTTTTTAAACCCATTTATATGTACCCACTCTTCTCTCTCTTAATGAGGATATCTTTCTCAATAAAGGTGAATGGTTATGGGGCTGAGGCATCAATGATGGTCTAGGCCGCTCAAAGAGCAGTAACACAAGACAACCCCTTATAAATTATCTCCTAATCTATCTGAACACAGTGAACCAAATTGGTTGCCTAACTTTCACACGTTCTTTACTAGGTAAGTACTTAACCCAGATGGCAAGTCTTTATACTAAAGCTTACCAAATGAAACTCACAGGACAGTGTTTTTGGTCAAAGATATTAGTAGAAACAAAAATATTTTAATCCATTTGGATGCAGTCACATACGCGCTAACTTTAGCACTCTCCCTTCCTCCTCATTGGCTGGGTCTAACAAAATCATGGCAGGAAATTAAAGTGAGGCTGGGAGAAGGGAAGGCACTGTATATAGATTTGTCAGCACTTCCTCTGCATTACAACACCTATATGCCAGAGGAAGCCATCATCTACTCCAGATAGGAGGACGCAGTACGGAAGGGGGTGTCAATTCTGTAGTAATTTCAACACGGGCCAGAAAGCCATAAAACAATGAAGCTAACAGGGGGCTGCTTTTTTTAGACCAAGAACCAGCCCATGACAATTGAAAGGAGCTTCCATAGCCCTCGGGAGCTATTTAAAGTCCATTGCAACCTGAAACTCACAAAAAAAACCTTAATTTCCGCTTCCTTTCTGACACCCATGCATTTCACCAAAATGGCAAAATTTTAGTAAAAATATCCCTTTTTGTGCTAAAATGTAGGTGAAATTAAAGTTTTAATTTCACTTATCCCTATTAGTGGGTCCCTGAACTGGAGCCAGCATGCAGTCAGTGTGAAGCAATGGCCAGCATGCTTGTTCCAAGTAGTAGAGCCAGGATCCATGCCTGCACCTTTAAAAACCCAGTCAACAATGGCAGCTCCCACATTTCTGCCCTCATAAGTTTAAATTTCAGCATGCTCTGTCACCCAGGCAAAGGTCTGTCGATTGTCCAGCACTGCAGGCAGGTAGACGCACAAACATTATGTACTCAATGTTTCTGCAATAGACAGCTTGACGCCAGTTTCTTTCTCAAGGACACGAGGGAGAACTTTTCCCCCCCGCATGACTTGTGTGTCTTATCTGAAATCCGCATTACCCAGCACCACACACCTCTTCCTTACTCTGGCTCTGGCGACATATCGCACACTTTGGGCACTCGGTTCAGACCGTGGGAACTGTGTCACTACACACCCTTTGGTACTGCAAGGAAAATATATAATTACTGGAGTTGCACTTCCATTCCCCTGACTGGATAAAACGTGACTGTGAAAGTCCCTTTCCAGAGTCCGGATAATATAAAACCAGTTTCCAGGAAATATTGTGGGCCCATGTTGCCCATAGACCACAGAAATGGCGATCTTTAATTGGCTTTCAAGGAAACCAATGGCAATGGTTTATACATTTATATGGCAGAGATGAAATGCATTGACCGTTTTTAGTTTTTTTTAATGTATTCATTTATTTTTTCACATTTTACCCTCTGTGGATCAAGGCATACAGAGTTTGTATTGTTTTTCTATCATGTATATACATTTGTAATGGGATATTAAGGAAGAGCACCAGCTCTAACAAAGCTGATCATACAAGCAAAACTGCAGAGAGAACTAGCCACCTTTTTTGCCCAAAAAACCTCGCATTGCGATTCCTTGGTACACATACAAGAGAGGCATGCATTGCCTGGGTGAGTACCAGCTAAATTTAAAGTGACATTAAACCCATTAAACACATTACAGTATTGGTTTATGTTAAAAAATCTGAGGGTTTAATGTCACTTTAAGTATTTGTTGTTATGAGGTACTCTTACTACTCTGCCTGACTGGACTTTCATAGCCATGCAGTTACAGGTATACTGCTTGTTCATTCTGCACAGGGACACTAAAGGATAAGGGGACCCGTCAGTGCTGTACCTGGTAACCGGGTCATTATATTAGTCTGCGCTGTCCACAAGCCTTTTTTATGATGAGAGTTGACTGATGCTCATGGTGCTCTCTCTCTCGCTCTTTCTGCTGCTGGGTGAAAAGGCTGACTGATGACAGAAACCTAAAAAGGAACAGGGGCAGCCTGTTTGTTTTTGGAATCCCATTAGGGGGCATCTTGTTAGTTAGGAACTGAACTAAGTTTAGTAAGTGGCTCAGAGAAGCAGATGTTTTGTTTTATGCTATAGACTTGTTGTACAAAGCCCTCCTGTGTTGAAATTGCGCTTGTTTGCTGCCTTGCTGAATAAAAGTGCAGGACAAACCTGTTTAGACTGTTCCTGGGGTCCCTGTTGCAAGCAATGTTTACCATTGCCAATACTAGTTAAAGTGCAACTGAAGCCAAAACTTTTTTTTCTCGTTTTGGATAGAGTGGAGAGGGATTAGAACACTGGTTGTTTATTATTGCAATCTGTCTGAGTCTGAGGTAAGTAGAATTTTTTGAATTGTGAAATGCAGCAGCTTGAAATGAGTAATCAGCTGTTTTACAGGAACAACAAGCTATGGGTGCCCTGTATGTTCCTTAAGGAAACTGGGAGAGGAAGCAAATTGTGAAGAGATCAATCATACAGAATACCCAAGTTAGATGTTGATTTATGCAAGGAGGATCATCAAAGGGTATAGGGTCCAAGCTCTTTTTTTTTTTGCATAGGGACCCTCTGAAATCTATGTGCTTATATTGAAGAGTCTTCTCCTTGCACTGCTATGGTGCCAGGGACCTCTAGATCCTTCCATCTCCTTCTCCCTTCCATCTCCATGGCTTAGACCCAATACCTATGTATTATATTTTTACAAAGCTGTGCAGAAAACTATCTGTTGATCCTGTTAGAAATCCGGTCAACTCCTAAGCAGCTAAACAGTCTTTGCCAGGGGAAAAAAGTTGCTGTTACTGCAATACTCTCCTCCTTTCTGGTGCTGTCCCCCTAGAGACATCTCTCATCCAACGTTGGTCCTCTCCCTGCGAGCCCAGGCCACCATGGGCTCAGTCCATGGTTGGACATCCTCACACTGGCCTGGGCTAATGATACTATCACGCTCACAAGTCATTGTAATTAAGTGCTGCCCTTTCCGGGAGAAAGAAATACTTGCTCTCAGAGGAGGAGGAATGATCTGTAATGTCACATGACTCACCAGAACATTGCACAATTTTTAAGCTTTGAATGATGATTTT